AGGCAATTGATTTCGTCTAAATATGATTAAAATACTTTTAATTGAATTCGAATTTTAGGGTCCTTGATAAATACTGCCATACATATTGTCCTTAAGAAATCGCTACTGACCTTGTGGTATGTCGGCCACCCAAGATTAAGATGGCATGCTTAAGACTGAACAGGAGGTTCTCCTAGCCCACAAAGAGATGATAAATACTGCTGACGGACGGGTGTCATTAACAACTTAGATAATTGTAATATTTCCAAAAAATCCGAGGTCACAATGGATTCCATCTTGGCAATGGTTTTCATTTTATCTGAAATATCTCTTTTGTTCAGTTTTCAACAATCTTCAAAAACAGCGTTGACACACGTTCAGAGTTGACACGCGTTTGCCATTACACTTTTACTTCAATTATACTCTTTGACGAACTTATTCTCATCAATTTAAATAATCATTACTTCATCACCCAAAGCCACGCTTTCACTCTCCACTAAACATTTATACTATAACTACATACGCCACTTCTCTACAAAAATGTATTCGTCAGTTTCAGTACATCATTCATAATGTATCACTATCAAATCCGAAATGACAGTGGTCTTAGCTTGATTTTTTTTTCTTCCATCTAAAATAGCCTCTGTTGGCGAACAAATAATTTCAACTTTGGTGCCCACTTCGAATACACTAGTTTTTTTTAACTACACATTCGATGTAAAGACACTAAAACATTACATTTTAGGCGCCTAAAAAGTCAATACTTTAGAGGAGATATGCGACAATTAAATCCAAATTGTGGAAATGAATTGGTAATAAATTATCTCAGGGTCTGCATCGAGCTACGATACGAATTTAAATAATGTGTGTGCTGGCGCCCATCTCACACCAGTTTTCACCACGAAGACACGTGTCAATTCCAAATTTTGGCAAGTAATGAGCAATAAATTGTCTGAGGGTTTCCGTCGAGCTACACCCTGAATGTAACTTAAGTGCGTGTGCTGACGTCACGTCAAGCCAGTTCACGCCCGTTTTTGGCCTCGCAAATGCGTGGCATTCAATTTCAAATTGCGGCAATTAATTAGCAATAAATCATTTGACATGTTTCATTGCGGTGTGCTGAAATGGCTGCTTCAGCTTGAACCTGATCATCGCCTTGCCCTCTGAGACACGAGTGCTTTGAGTACGTCACGAATGAGTGCTCAGCGCTCACCGCTTGACAAAGTGCTCAGAGACCACCGTTAAAAAATTAAATGTGCAATGAAATGCAAAAAAAGAACTCTGAAGCCACAATGCAATATTTTCAGTTACAAAAATTCAGTGACCTACAAGTCCAAATGACAGCTTCAGTCGAGACAATGGAAATTCGTTACCAGTCGAAAATGTACGATTAGTAGAACTTATAATGATTTAACTTTTACTTCAATTACACATCGTCTTGCTGAACTTTCATCAATTTAAATAATCATTCCTTCACCATCCAAAGGAATGCTTTCACTCTCTACTATAATAATACCCTCATCACGAAAAAACCATCTCAGTAAAACACGTAAATCATTCGTAATGTTTCACTTTTGCTCGCAAATGTGAAATAATAATCCTTAATTTACAACTAAATAGAGAAATCGACCTTTAATAATAATTATTTCATGCAGAACACACTAGTGCATTCATACCTCTTACGACAATATCAAGTACATCACCAAAATGACTCCCAATAATTTCATAAAAGTATATATTGTACACTTAATATATTTACGCCTAGTCGCAATTAAAATCAGAATCCAAGTTGCTTTGATAAATAGACCATCTTTTCCTCAACGTAGATCTGCGCCTGAATGTGCTGAAGTCTCATATAAAGTCTATTGCTTAAAAACTAGGAATTAATGACATTTTATATTTATGCAGGATAACTATCCTGAACATACCACCTTGAACTCGTTCCTAGATTCTGTACATCAGATTCTACCACGAGGCTATTCTTCAGCGACTATTCATTAACCTCATAAAACATCTTTGGGATTATCTAGAAAGAAGACTTCGGACAATGCATATTCCTAGTAAGCAGATACCAAAAACTTTCTCCTGGAAGAATGGTATAATATTTCGGCCAACCTCGAATTTGGTCAGCTCTATGCCACGTAGATTGAAAGCAATAATAAAATCAAGTGACTCTCCCACTAAATATTAGAATTACAAGATAAAACTGTTTTTAATTAATATTTTATGAAAACTATCATTTGTAAGAATACTTACTATGATTCATTTCTGCAAAATAATTTTGTTAATAACAAATAACAGTTTATACTCATTTATAAATTATTATTTATATTTATTTATGTTACTCATCTTTCAACTATTTATAGTTAAAATGACGGGAAGAGATTCTGGAACTCAAGAAAACGTGCGCAGATAATCTTTTCTCCCCTACGTCACATAGTTGTACTGTTTTTTTGACTGAATAAATCTAAATAACAAACTAGCAATAAATACTAGAGCAATTTTACTGTGTGATGATGTAATATTTACAGATTTAATATTATTTTAGGGAAATCCAATCTTTTTTTTTTACTACTTTGCCCTGACTAAAGCATTTCCTAAGAAGAAATTCTCAAATATTTACATCAAACTGTTTTTGGATAGCACAAAGGACACTTAATATCATGGTGCAGGTCTCATGTTTGTTGAAACTACAGATTTTTAGAAAATTGAAAAAAATGCAATTTTGGGGGGAGCGTCTTCCCACAACTATACTATTTGAAGATTAAAGATTTTTCTTTAATGAAATGTTCCTTAAAGACGAATCTTTAAATAAATTATGTTCCATTTTTCAAAAGAATGAGTAGTTTTAGTGTAATTTGGCGCGAAATACAAATATTTTTTTATAATTATTTTTTTAAGAAAACTGCTCCAAATTTGTTTTTTAAGCTTTTGCAACAGATAGAAGATGCGATTCATAGAGTCCTTTGACGAAAATCAGCCGTTAGTGTCATCCAATCGGGAGCTTAAACGTCACTGCAGTGACGTCACTAGCGCGACTTTTAAGCTCTCATTGGACGACACCGTGCAAGCTGACAAAGGACACTATGAATAAATCGAAGTATAAAAGAATGGCACGGATCTCATTTTCCTTGAACTCTGAATTTTCGTAAACTAAAAATTTAAAAAATAATGCGAGTATGTGGTGTTGGAGCACCACAAATTTTGTTACAATAGTCGGTGTACGATTATTTTATTCTCTCACTACGCAATTCTCTGCATTGATGAACTCAATCGTAGATCTCGCTCACTCGTAATCCTCTGGTGGCGCGCAGCTGAACTATTGCACAGTAGTATCATTTTCCCAAAAACTTTGGCGCTCGAAGTTTTTAATTGGACTTAAAGAACGAAATATCCCAGAGACGATATATTCTAATCCAAAGTTTTTAAAAAATACAAATTTTCAGTGACCATTCATTTTTTTAAAGGGACACATTTTGACATTTTAATTAAATGAAAGCATTTCCCCCAGCTGAAGTAACTGAAATATCCATTTGTCGAAAATAAGACCATCCATTTTTGGATACGATTAAACAGTTTGGACAAAAAGATTTTTAACCAACACAGCACGTGCGTACTTCACAAAAATACGTAAAAAATACTTAAATTTTCGAAAAATTGCACATAACCTAATTTCAAAATCTATCTATAAGGAACAGAGCTCATTAAGGTAAAAAAAAGTCTTCATAGTTGCTATTCTCAAAACTTTTGAATTTATGCAATTTTCGAAAAACTAGTTTTTTCAACAAAACGAAACCTGCATCATTCTCTCTAACTTTCACACTATACAACAAAAAATTTTAATCAGAAACATTAGAGCCATTTTTTTAAAATATCCCAGGAGCTTCATGTAAATGATCCCCCCTAAGATTAAAATATCGGTTTCAAATTCAATGAGCCGCAACATCGGCCTGATCAATTGGGGAATATCAATTTTGCAGAAAATCGACTGAACTGTTTAGCCGCTAGCGTTGTTCAGACACGGAGAGTCAGCCGTTTTACCGCCAATCTATTTTTCAATATCAAGGACCCACAAAACCTGGATTCTGGCTACATCACATGTTAGAGAATTTGTTTTCTAAATTTAGAAGTTGGAGCAGTAAGAGTTTTTCTGCAAAAATTTGCCGTTTTTCGTACAATATTCGTGTACATAACTTTCTCACTAAGGCGTAAGCGGTAGTGGAAAAGTAAAAAGGTACAACCGTAGAAATTCAGCGTTTTCATTATTTTATTTTAAAAAAATAACTAATGGCATTTTTCATGATTCCTATCGCGCTCCTCGTCATTTTCTCTACTTGACTATATTTTTTCTACTTGCTTTTGAGGAAACTAATTTGGCAACAAGCACGAGATTCTTTCATTGAAATCCGCGCGGTGAACGAATCGGATTACAAACTGCATTTCAGCCTTCACAATTATATATACAGACGGATCCAAGATCCATGTACATATAGACATAGATTTTGGTCGTATCCAGAGACGCATTTTGGGAGGAGAAATTCAAAATGTTTTCATCAAATATGTCATATTACAGATTTGGTAAAACGTCGCTGGCTACACTCAGTCCAAGCTGCGATACGATTTCATTAGTTTTAATGATAATGCATAAATATTTTTGCTCGCGTCTCGTGACAAGTTGAAATTAAGTCACTGAAAAAATTGTTTGGGATGGGGGTGGGGATTTCCCGCCCCGTGGATCTGCGTGTGATATATTCCATGTTATCGATTTTTGTAGATACCTCATTACTACGTTTATTTGCAGTGACCCATGTTTTTTTTCCCTTTACGACAAATTTTGTGTTATGCAAGTTCGTGCTAACGAGGGTTTACTGTAGTATAACTGAATTTAAGGCACTACTGAGCAATCAACTTTTCTATGGTAAGATATAATAATGAAGACTTAATAGTCTTCGTGGATATAATGAACACCACTTAACACCTGTGCTCTAGGTGGCGTTGCTATAATGAAAATTGATACGTACCCATAATTCTTCCGTGAGGTTCTACAATGGCTGTATACACAGCCAAATTGGCGGGAGATCCAGAATACGGCTGTACATTCACACCCCATTCATCAGGATTCAAATTAAATGCCTCCAGTGCTCTCTTCTGACACAATAGCTCAATTTCATCAATATACTCATTACCACCGTAATACCTATAAAATATACATTACAATTAGTAATCATATCAACCGCTGTACTCTGCTTCCAAATACAGTACACGCACCTCTGACCGGGCAGGCCCTCCGAATATTTGTTGTGTAGGCAAGTACTCAAACACTGAAGAACAGACAGAGATGTAAAGTTTTCTGAAGCAATCATTTCCAAGCCAGAGATCTGGCGTTCCTTTTCGTTTTTTATGATTGAGAATAACTCAGGATCGGATTCCCACAACGGATCATTAAGGTGTATTTCGGCCATGCTGAAAACTACAGAATTCTCAAACTCCGTGTTAACTCTGAGAAATGCGTTTACCAACTGCAATCCGCGCAAGATCAGAAAGTCCTTCGGCACACTATCGAAGGTTACGACGATAACCCTACTGACGTTAAACTTCGCTCTATTACGAAATTCGAAAACGTAAATAGGAATGTCCGTAATCACAAATTGAATAACTAAATACGTAAAACACAATCCCACAACAATCTGACTGCTTTGCCGGTATCCGACAATCCTACACCTGCGCACAATACGTTCTAATTTACCACCTTATACAAGAAGTCCTTACAAAACTTTCACATATAAGCTGCCAACCATTATGCACTCATGTCCCGTCAATCCCACGCACAAACCACCTGCAATAAATTAACACAGGACCATCTGACTTCAGCCAATAGCCACAGTTCGCCGCTTGTCGCCAACTGCCCCGCCTGCTTTCTGGAGGCAGCTCTAGCAGACGTCGACCACGTTGCTTGCATAGACCAAGACACCCCCCCCCCACACACACAAACCGGTTGGTAGCAGTTGAGAGCGACGATTGTCTCGCAATTTCCGTGGTCACGGGGTAAAAGTTCGATAGTCAATTTTCGACAAATTGGGCTAAGTATCTACATTTTAAGTGAAACGATCGAATTCCTAAATGCCTCCTTCATGCCAAAAATGTATTGGGAAATTCAGCTTCATACCACTAGTCAGCGGCTGAATAATCTAACTCTTGTTTTCTCTCAACCAAGATTTTTGACTTAAGAACTACCCTGTGACCGAAGATTTCTTAAAACGGTGATTTTTCAATGATTACTGTAGTTTACTGATTACTGATGTTTACTGTAGTCTTGGCGTTTAAATTAATGATAACCAGTTGAAAAATGTGGAAACCATTTTCTTTTGGCCATAATTGTTTCGAAGTTTATTAATAAATCTAATATTTGCTCAAATTTTACCAGAAATTTGACTACTGTAAGGAATATAATTTAATGGCTGCCTGGTATCCTCTCCCAGCACACACAGTTTGCTTTTGAACAACACATTAACACTTACACAGTGGAATTTAGTATCTGGAATTTTCTAGGCTTATTACCTTTCATTGTGTCAATGCACGCATTTTAGAATTTCTTGCAAGAAACCACATTTTCTCATAAAACCCTAATGCTAATTTTATTGTTGCAACATACAAAAATTACACATTACAACTCATTCAACCACAAAGTACTAAGGACGTAGAATAGGACCTTCAAAAATACTCACAAATAAATCTATGGAAATTGAGGACAGTAAGCAACACATTGCCTGGGGCACTCAATACTCCTTTTATCGACTTTCAAAGATATTTCAACATTACAGAATACAATATTAAAATGTTTAGAGAACAAGTGTCCTATAAGAAGTCTACAAACAGATATGAAGTGCACATAATCCACATAACCCAAATTTAGTACCTACATCATTTACCACTCTGATATATATACAGGATATACTCAGTTTTTCAACCTTATGCTTATGCACACTTGTAAGAAAAGCAGTATTGTACTGTTCATGCTCAGGAAGCATTGCTGAATATCTACAATATTAATTACATAATATCATTATTCTCATATATTTATTTATTATCATTATACCATACAAAGTAATATAACCAAAAATCTTGTTTGGTTACAATGCTTCATTCTGATCCATTTAAGCCCTGTTTGGTGTTCTCATTTACCCTATCCAGTCAGCATTTGAAGTGTTGCAACACTTAGCCTAAATTACCTAGTTCGTTAAAGAATTAGACCATTCCAAGAAATTGTTTATACACTGTCATTACTTCAGGATACCCATTAGTGCTGTCATCGAATTAATCTGCATTAAAATTCAGAGTTACTGTCACAATGCTTCTATCAATACAAATGTTAGTAATGAAAATTATCTCACTGATTGATCATCTCTTTCACACACCATCAAGCATACACAGTAGATAATTTAAACATTCTTACATCTGCACAACGTAACTTTAAGGACCAATATGTTGGTCGCAACACAAATTTTATGCAAGTCTTTTCATTAGTTTTGCAACAATATACAACCATGCAACATTTTCTGCCTCCCAAATTCCTCATTCTTTGAAACAATGAGAACTGTAGGATTTAAAATGTTTGTTATGAAGAGCATATGAACCAAGTTATACAGGAAATATAACACAATAGCAGACAATATATAACATTGTAGACAATGCATTGCTTCTTTAAGATATGAATTTTGGAGTTTGTTATAAATTATTCACAGCAAATGCATTGAGCAAAGAGTATCGTGCAAATCAACCACAACATACTATTTTTTTTTTTTTATTCTACTCATTTTGAAACATACTTGCAGTGGTATGTACTTAACATGACAATACTATCTACTTAAGTCTACAAAACAGTTTAATAATAATCATACAATAATATTCTTACTTGTGAAATTTAACAACCTTACATTATGTACAGATCAAGAATTCAGGCAATATGTACAAAGTGGATGTTCAAGATGGTTTTTAAATAATACTGATGGATAGGGTAAATTTTTATAGGGTGTACGGCACTTTCTGTAATTAGGAAGGAAATTTCAGGTTAACTATAGTATAAATACATTTATTTTTTTCTCCTGCTCACAGGCTAAATTAAAAAATAATAAAAAATTCTCCCTCTCCCATGATTCTATCACAACAATCTTGTACTCTTCATTCGTTCTTACAGGCAAAACAAATCAAACATTCTACATGTTAAGTGTGTAGCAATTACAAGTTGGAACCAATCCAATTCAAGAAAATCAACAATGCATGGTCTTTTTAGGGTATATGCCGACCTGATTTAAAGTGCCTAGAGCAAAAAAATTCAGATGCAGATATAAGTTAACTTTCAGCTGAAAACACAGAAAGATGCAAAAAGTCAAACGACTAACAGCAATATCACAAGGGATGGGATTGTAAGAAAAATACAACCAAAGTTACACCTAAAAACAAAAAGAAACAAGAAAAAGTATGTACTTCCATGTTCAGATAAAAGGTATTTCTCATTCCAACGTTTCAATAATGTCTTATCTATAAAATAAACCTCCTGTAAAACAAGAGGAGCTCAAAGTGATTTATTGTTTTACAGAAGAATACAAGTAATTTTTATCTACTTCCTCTGAGGAGAACAAGAAATGTTAAGAAAGGAAGTGTTTAAAATTACACAACTATCACACTGCAGAAAACTGTAATTACTAATCAAGACCGACTATATAAACCATATATCAAGTTCTTGTAACCAGATAATGGTCTCAATTTCAAAAAAATATGTAAAAAAGATGCTGCAAGACAAAAAAGTAAAAAAAAAACAACAAAAACAACAAACAAACAAAAAAAGTAAACACACTAGCCCATATACAGAAATATGAACCTAAAACATGATTGACAAGCGATCTGACAATGTAAAGAAACAATAATAAAATGCTTCTTTGTAAAGATTCCAACAGTAGTAAGAATGATCCTATTCCTTCAAACAACAGCTTAATACATGATTTTGTAAGGTAATGCACTGCTTTAGTATATTTTTTTAATAGATACACATCCCATCCCTATTGCCAAGAGAATTCACATAGTAATTGCTCCATTCAAATTTGCATGATCTTTCTCATCAGCCATGAGCACAGTTGTCCCTTCTACCTAACATGGCTGTCACACTCAACAAATTCCACATTCAAATACAAAAAGGAAAAGAAATAACACCACAATTGTCATACCAATATTTCAGCACAAAGTCATTATAATGTTCCTTCAGAATTTTTAACACTAGTACAACACCAGTAGCGTTTGAACATGACTACAACCATTTGCAGGACACAGGGAAGTCCGTCCATATCCAAGGGAAGCCGCTCACTTTCATAGGCAAGAGATGTATGTTTGAAAAAGGGAAAATAATAAAAATATGCATAGAGATCAACAAACCAAGCTAACATTCACATCCAGTTGTTGCTTTCTTCTTGATCCTCTTATTTTGCACATTTTTTAATTCCTCATTATTACTTTGGTGATTAAAACAGTTCAAATGACAGAGCTTGTTTGGTTCATTCAGTCTTAGTGAGACATGAGCCTATTAAGATGACACATCAATACATCTCATTGAGACTCCTGCTGCCATTAGTTCTAACATTCACTGCATTAATTGTGTTCTACGCAGCTGCAGCCTTACTTCAGTTGTAGATTTTAATGGCTTTCTCCAGGTAATTAAACCGAGATCTCTTGGGAGCTTTGTTGATGTGTTCTAATCCAAGCCAAGGCTTTGGACTTGCACTCACTGCAAAAAAGAAACAAACACATAGTATTAATTTAGGGTCCTTGGACTAACCTCATGCTAATTCTTTCCTCATCCCTCGTATGGCTCATTTTTCTGATAAGTGTCATTGTAGTTGGAGTGTTCAAGACAACGAATGACTCATCTCTTCAGTCTTGACAAAATTATTCTCAATCATAATTTAGTAAGTGTGTTTTCCACAATTTCAAGATCGATTCTGAAGTTAAATAACAAAAAACAAATCAAGTTTTAGATAGAGTCCTTCAATGATGCACTTCCATTTAAAACTCAGCAATTCATTCAAAATATATAATTTGGCATTAAAGTAAAATAAATTACTTGAAAATCAGACATGAACCTTTTCTTCATCATCCTTCTTTCTAGCTAAATTGATGACATGCATTAGATTATGCATGAAAATTAAAACTCAAAATTTTCTAAAAAAAAAACAAACTAAAATTAAATTACTACTTCCTTCAAAACTGTTAGAGGGTTTACTAACTAAATTCACATTTAATCAAACTGTCATTTGCAAGTGTATCAATTAAACTGATGTACAAATGTGAGAAGGTGGGAGGAAGGAGGAGGGAGGGTGCAAAAGTTTGAGAGTGATTATATTCAGGTCATTATAAAATGGACTGAAATGTCAAAGGCACTTCTACTACCCCCATTTTGCATTACAAATCTGTGTAATCAGATTCGCAGTTAAGTTACAAAACTTTCTTTGCCATACCAAGCGCTAACATAACAGTAAGTTTTTATCTACTAGAAGAATATTAAGATGTAAAATATTTAGAATCAGATATTTTCTTTCTTTCATTCTCAGATGTTACAATGTTAATTAACAAAAATTCAAATTTCTTCATTACAAGGAAATCTGAATATAGAGATAAATAATACGAATGGAGTTCAATTACTAATAATACGAATGGAGTTCAATTTTAAATGATTTTAATTCAAAAGTTGTTGACTGTAATGAACCTACATTAACATTTTAAGAAAATAGTTTTCGAATACATGTACTGTAAATAGATGCAATGTATAACTGAATGATAATAAAACATAAGAGAAAACAAAAACAAGGAAAGAATTCACAATTCAAACATATTCCCGCCACTCGGCCAAAATATTTACACAAGATAGAATTTAAAAAAAATTGAAATAACAATTAGCTGGGCCAGAAAAATATGTAGTATGAAACATCAAAATATGTAAAATCCAATATAATATGTAACAATAAACAGTAATTAGAAAACATTTACATAATACAAAATTACAATTTTTGAAGTTTTCCTAAACAAATTTTAAAAATAATACAAACGTTCAAAATCATTCGGAAAACGGAATTCGGTACAATCGTCAAAATCATTTGGAAAGCACAAGTTGATGCACACTTTGCCCCAAAATATTTCCTGTCAGTAGTAAAAGCTTTGTCCACTGCTATCCAGGACCGTAGTTTTGCAGCCAAACTAAGAGGTAATAGAAGACATCGTACAAACTGGAGAAATCTATGACCAACAAACAATCACTGCAGTGTGCAGCACTCTCATTGAAGTTTTACATGTAGCAAAGTGCCAAAGTTTCTCGGAAAGTAAGGTTAAAAGGTCCCGAAACGCTGTGTCAATGATGCTTTTTACATCTTAGGTGGAAATGATTACAGTAAATGATGTGCACATCACACATCTTCATGAAGGGTACCTGGAGTAGTAGCATGCAATAATAATTTTGAAAATATGCTGAATGTTTTGAAAATATTTTTCATAAAAAATAGCAAAATATGTAATATAGTACTAAATATGTAAAAATATGCATCGAAAAAACTGATTTATATTGTCAGAACAATGATGATTCACAAAGATTACAAAGTAGGGAACACTAAGAAGAAATGCAAAAACAAATGTAATTACATAAAAATCCGGTCTCTAGCAATAAGTAGTAAAGAATATATACATAATACAAATATCGGTGATAATGTAATATGCTTTTACATGCCTGTGATAAGAGGAAGTAATTTAGTACACAGAAATAAGAACTATCTGAATCTTTGGTAACAGGGAACTAGAATACAAATTTTTCTACTGAAAAATCACAGTTTCAGATGCAGAATTACATAACTCTCTTGATATTTATATAGTATGTAAAAATGTAAAAAAGCATATGAAGTTTTTTTCCAAAAATTGTTACGAATTTGTCTTTATAATTAATAACTCAAGTATCTAGTGAGAATGGAAACTATTCCAAAACATAAAAAATATTGCTTATTAATGCATTTACTTTGATTATCTATTGAGGATTTGAATTATGTTGATTAGCTCCCTCTCATGGGATGCTTCATTTACTGACTCTCAAATTTTATTAATTTATAATGTTAAAATTAATCACTAAATTTCTTTCTCCAAAACATGCATTATTTTTCATAATTCTTAATTTTTTTTAATTGCTCTCAAAGAAAATAATGAATTAATTTACAGCTGTAGGCAACTATATTTTCTTAATTTTTAACCGTTTATAATTAATTTTACAAACAAATATCAATCCTTATTTATTAATCGCCTGCTATCATTTCCATTTGAATTCTGTGTCAAAATGTGGCACAAAACCAGAAACAAACTTGTTACTGTCTTAGCCCACTTTAATTTGCTTAACGCCAAATTCCGATATTTTTATCCAATATCCCATCCGGTGCTGGTGATGAGTAAATATCAATTTTTTATGTAATTACATCTTTTTTGTTTTTCTTCTTACTATTTTCAATGGTGCAAACATAATAGCACCGGCTTTTTCATACTAGTTCATTTTCTAATTTCTTTGGTCTGGGCACAAAGTATTTTTTAAATTTTCACAATTTTTTTGTTTTCTAATGATAGAATCAAAATATTACTTTAAGAATATTAATGAAGAGTAAATTCTCGTCCTATAATGAAATTTTTGTTGAAAAATTTCGAGACTTTTAAAAATATGTTGTTTAAGTGTCATTGAAAACGCAAAATTTCAAGCTCTTTCTAACAGGAAACTGTTGAGTTTTCGACAACCTTCATTACAAATCTTTTGAAGTACTTCTACTCACTGGAATAAAGTTTACAAATCGATGGAAATGTGATTATTAGGGGAGTGAGACATTCCCCCAAAAAATGACTTGTGACATCTTCAGTAGTGCATTTAGGAGGGGGAGAGAGGGGGAGGGGG